TTTAAATTTAATTAAATATTTTTTTTAAATAATAAAAATAATAAATGGATTAATTCCAAATTGTTTTCTAGTGCTTTTTTCAAAAAAGGCTTAATTAATTTCACATTAATATCTCAGCAGTTGTATCATCGATTGCATCATTCATTTATAACATCATATTTATATCATCACTTATATCATTGGTTATCTAGTGTGAAGGAATATATTTATATTCCTATTAAATTTTATTGAGATAAAAGATAAATAAATAAATATTTTAAAAAAATTTAAATTTAAAAAATCACGTGAAATTTCGATAACTCGGTTCTCTCGATAAATCGGCCACAGTCCAAACACTATATAAGTCAAAAAAAAGAAGATCATTTCGGAGATATTGATTGGTCGAATTACGAATACATCACCAATAAAATAAGTCTATGGGAGAAACTTTATATCCTAATATTCGATATGAATAATTATTATCCCTTCAATGGATCTCTATTCAACCGAGGCATATTCATTGTCGACGAAAATTATAACTCTAAAGAGGATGTGTACGATGCAATTCTCAACACACTTTTTCCAGTGCTTTTTGTCATTTTGTTCAGAGTTTCAGGGAGATCTGGACGCATAAAAAATCTGCTGTTGCCATTATTAGATGACATATTATACAACACAGTCACTTGGGTGATTCCGCTGGTGGTTTCATTTACCTATGATGATTTGCTGAGTGTAAAGATTTTTTCATTTGTAAACATGGGTTTGCATGTAATTTGTGCAGTAGCCGCGATAATTAAACCTAAAAAAGTTGGTGACGATTTTACCGATTTTTTTCATTGTATCAGTTCATTTTTGGTATTTTTCCCAGCTATAGTCATTCCAACATTCTGGACTGCTATTATTATAATCAGATATCTTTTTGATCCAATTAGTATAATATTTCTCGCATCATTTGGGATAATATTAATTACACCATTCATTGCTTTTATACTATTTTGTCTTGATGGGTACTCAAAAAGATCAAATCAAGCACTTCATTCGAGGTTTTTTTATATATTATTACTTGTCGGATGGTTTTATCTCCCGAATATTCTGCAAACATTATTGATTGTGTTAAAATGGCCAATCAATTTTTACTTTGTCAAAACATGCGTGTTTATACTGGTTCTCTCTTTAACAAGAAACGTGTCCTTCTTTACAGAGGAGAAACCGGCACCTGATGAATCTTTGGCTACTTCGACAACATTAACTCAATATGCCCTGCGCAAATTAATCGATAGAAGGCTAAATATAATCAAGGGATAAAAATACCAATGTCTGGTTTCATAAATAAAATAATAAATGAAAGTCAGACGGATGAAACTCAAAAGAAAAGAGTCGCAGAAATGTACGAATTAATAATCGAAATCAAAGAAGCTCGGAAGAGCGACATCAAAAATATGAAACTCTAAAGGAATAAATGGAATAAATGAAAGAAGCTTGGAAGAGCGAAAGTCAAAAATATGAAACTCTAATAGAAGAAATGGAAGGAATGAAAGAAGTTCAGAAGGGCGAAAGTCAAAAATGTGAAACTCTAAAGGAAGAAATGAACAGATTAATGAACGAAATAGCCGGAGTGAAAAAGTCAATAAAACGAAGGAATGAAGATATATTAGATGAGAGAAAAATAGCAAATAGATAAACCAGAATAATAATAATGGTAATATAACATCTACCATATTACCGATATATATCCATATCACAAATAATTTTCAATAAATAATTTATTTTAAAAAATTAATTAATTATCTTAAT